AAAAAGTTAACACCTAGCTTAAAGCAAATTTCCTTTAAACTGTTCCGCCGTATAGTTGTCCCGGCCCACAGGGGGCGGCAGGAAGTCCTGAGTGGGATCTTCAGTCTTGGTAGGCCAGATCCCTGGGCTAGCAAGAGACACCCAGTGGGACTCCTCCCCTCAGGGTGAGGGGATAGTCCTGGTCGGCATCGTTCATCTGCTTGGCCAGATCATGGATTGCCTCCAGGTAAAATGGTTGTCCTGGTTCAATGGTGTCCTTGTGCGGGCCCACCAAGATGTGGCGTACTTCACATAGCAGAGCTTCCGGAAAAGGATGCTGCTTGTCATGTTGGCTGATGGAACGAAATTCCTTAGCGGAGGTGGGGTTCTGAGGTTGTCCCCGCCTTTGTGTGTGCGTCCCTCCATCTGTCTGCGGAGGGCCCTTCTGCTCCTCATGTGCCTCCGGCGGAGGTGACCTCTTGGAGAACCAGCGAAGGGTGTCCCAGATGCGCTGGATCTTGTGCGGGGTAGCCTCCGTGTCGCGTAGCTTGTTGAGGAGGGCTCGCACCGCCGCCTCATCCCAGGGCCATCCGGATAAGCTCCTCAAGGCCCAGGCAGTGGATACGTAGGGCGCGGAAGCGTGTGTCACCCAGGAGGTCCACGTACTCCTGGAAGAGGTCTGGTCCGTGTATTGACTGGAGGTGAGGGATCTCATTGCCATAGGGTGCCATGTGGGCAATGAGCCTCCTTGCCCAGTGGAGCCGGAGGTCACTCTCCAGTCGTCGCTGGGTGGATGGTTCCATATCCCGGATGCGGCCAGGTTTCCAGTGCCGCCACTTCTCCAAGGCTTTCAGCGCCGGAAGGGGCTCAATTGGGGTTCGAAGCCAGTTAACCCGATCTGCTGCAGCCCATCGTCGTTCTCGGTCGTTGTAGGTCAGCGAGTGGCGCCCCGGTGGAGTGGATCAGAAAGTCCAAAAACCCGGTGCTCACCACTCCGGTCGGTGTCTGTGCAGGGTCAATCACTATAGAAAGGGTTCAAACAATCCCATGGGCAATTCCGCCTCCTCGGATGGCCCGTAGTGAGCCGCCATGATCAGGGCGGTCAGACATTCCCCGTCTGCCTGGACGGGCGAGAGTCCATTTCGTCTGGGGGTGTCCTGCACGTGGGAGGGGACCGTGAAGTAGGTCCTCGTGTAGGGGGGCTTCATGGCATAGCGCTGAAGCTCCATGAAGTGAGGCTGAGGAGCCGTCCACACCGGAGGCGCAGCCCAACCGCCGGCAGTTAAGCGCCAGCACCCAAAACCCTCAAATGGCTGCGGAACGAGCACACGGTCCGAAGTCCGAAATCAAAAAGCGAAAAACCAAGGTCACACAAAGTCACGTCCGTCCTCCAAGGTAAAAAGCCGGTACCAGAGGCTTTCCCTACGACTCGGGCGACTGCGAGTGGTACGGTCCACTCTACGGCTGTGTCTGGCACAGCGTCATCTGCCAGTGGCAGAACGGAGGCACCACCTGCCACACCTCCCCAGGGATCGAACAGCCCAGGGATGTCTACAGGCGCCCCGTCGATCCACGCCCTGGACGACTAAGCAACTGGACCCGGCCCCGACAATTGCGTCAACAAACCCATCAGGCAAGGATTTCACAGAAAGGAGTTCGTATGGCCTCAGGTGGCCCCCAGGGAGGCCTCATAGACCCTCGAACATGTGATGCAAGAAAGTCACTCACGCCTTTTTCGTATCGAAGATGGCAGGTACCGGTATGGTACGCCGGTCGTGTCTCTCTGCGGCAGCCCCTTCTGTCCACCGAGCACATCAGGGCAAGAAGCACCTGGCCCAGCCAACATCAGGAGATGCAAAAAGACATGCCAAAATGCCACGACACAGGTGGAAGCGCTTCCACTCAATCAGCGGTGGCTGCCCTGGAGGCGCTTCGCGGCCAGGTCATGCCATCCGCCTCCGGGTTCGAAAAGATGATGCCCCAGAGGAGGTCCGAAATGTGCTCCATGCCGTTGACCCGGCTGAATCGAAGCCGACTGACCGTGTTGGGGTCAATGTCCAAGCACTCGTCTCGGAGGGGAGCCTGGGGCTCCAGGCGGGTGTAGTACTCGATTCTGGACTTGATCCAGCGGTTGTAGAGGTCCTGGGGAGGCTCATCCAGGATCAGCTGGAGGGACACCCGCTTGCCCTTGTGGCGGCCCTGGATCTGCACAAAGCGGCTGGAGCCCCGCTTGGATTTCCAGAAGCCCTTGCACTGCTTGCACACATAGCCGCCCCGAGCTCAAGATAAGGCCACACTCCAGGCGGCCCCAGAAGACGTGGCTGTTCTTGTCCTTGAACTGCTTCTTCTTGTAGTCCGAGCCCGCAATCGACTCCACACCATCCACCGTGAGAGGCGGATAGTTGCCCGGACCCCGGAAGGTACTCATCCGGCAGTGCCCCCGCCATATCAGGGCCCGAGGCACCTGTGGGTGGTGCGTCCGGGTGAGGAAGACCCAGGGCCGGAGGCCTTGCCCGGGTCCGTGACCTTGCCAACCCACCATTGCTCCTCCGTCAGTTGCGGGAGGAGCTTCGCGTAGACTGCGTCCACTTCTCGCAAGGCCGCCAGGGGGAGCGTGATTCGCTGGTCGCAGACCGCCCGCTCAATCATGTGTTGTTTGCTGTCACGGACGGCAGCGGGCGGTAGGTCCATGATGGAGGGAGGCGTGTGTGTGAAGCTGCTGGCCGCCAAGTAGGCACCCATCTCCCGGTAGGGCAGCTTCCACTCCTGCTGGTTCGTGGGCTTCAAGGGGGGGCCCGCATGCCTCCAGGAAGTTCTGGGTCTCCTCCTTCAACGTGTTGTAGGCCTGGAGCCGCTGGTTGTTCTTCTCCGCGCTGCGCTGGCCCCTCACCTGGGGCTGGACGATGAGCGGAAGGAAGCGCCAGATGTTGTACAACTCCTTCAGGGTGTACTCATAGCCCAGCACCCCCAGTAGAACCGGCAGGGTCCATGTGGAGACGTCCCGGCGCCAGCGCCAGTCCGCTCCATCATCGCCAGGGGCCCAGAAGAGGCCCACCACCGATTCAATGGCCGGCCGCTTCTTGCGCGCAATGTGGCCCTCAATCTCCTGCGAGGTGTACTCCACCAAGTCGCCCCAGCGGACGTTCAGGTTGTAGGGGTGTGCGCGACGCTCCAAGGCCCAGACCGCCTCCGCGTCGACCTTCTTGGAGGCCCATTCCGGGACAACCATTGGGCCCGGCGCCGTCGTCCATTGCCCACCATATGCACGGACCTCGCCCTTGTGGTAGCCCAAACCCCCCATATCAGGGCCTGAGGCACCTGTGGGGGGTTCGTCCTGGTACTCCATGAACCAAGAGCCGCGGCTGGTAGGGGTTGGTACCCTGCTTGATGAGCTCCCTGGTGCGCAGGTAGGCCTCCTTCACGTCCTGGAACTGGTCCACCGCCATCACCCCCCCGCTCCGGCTCGAAGAGACCACTCTCCAGGGCCTGTCCCCCAAATCGGGGGCATCTGACTGCCAGCGGAGCTGCTTGTCCGCATCAAAGGTCATGGTCCAAGTGACGCCATCCACCGTCACCGAGGCTGAGGGCAGAGCCGTCGGAACCTTCCCCTCCGTAGAGCCACAGTGGAGGCACTTCTTGGCGGCCGGCAAGATCCAGCTCGTGAAGCAGCTGGCGCACATGTAGGGCAGCTTGTCCTCCACCTCCGGGAGGGTCGTCAGCTTCTCCATGGAGCGCGCCCCTTTGGGCAAGTGCTTGGCCTCCCAAATCTCCTGCGCCAAGTGCTTGGCCTTGGCGATGGCATAGACCTCAACAATGCGAGCAAAGGCCGGCGGGGTGAGCTTGTTAACGTCGAACTTGAGGCAAAGCTCAACGATCTCCCCCACCTGGATGCTCCGCAGCGGCTGCGCCAGTTTCTTCGGGAGGCAGGGAAGGCCAGCCATGACATTGGTCAGAAGGATGTTCCCGTCCTGGGCGAAGGAGTAGGTCACAGGATCCTGCAAGCGCTGCTCCATCGGTACCTCAGTGTCCAGGCTCGTCCGCAAAGTCGAGGAAGGCACCGGCGGCAGCTGCTTGCCCAGCAGCGACAAAGCCCTGAGGCCGGTACAGGGGAGGATGACACATCCTGTTGAGTCTCGGTATCAGGGCGTGAAGCACCTGCCGAGTCTCGCGAATGGTCACCCCATCCAGGCACCAGTTTCAGAGGGACTCGCTGACGGAATCCCAGTATCAGGGCCAGGGGCACCTGCCGGGACTCCCGCGTCGTCCGCCTGATCCGGGGGGCGTTTGGGGCTGCTTGGCACCGCCGTTGGATCCTCAGCCACCACGGAAGATGCCGTAGGAGGAGGAGCCGAGGTAGGGCTCGCAAGCCCAGCAGAGGCCTCCGCAGGGGGCCTGCAAGGAGAGAGAGGTGATGCCACTCACCATCGCCTCCAAGTCCCGCTCCAGCGGGGGTCTTGTCCGCGGGGATCACGTAGTCGGCCAAAATGGCCGTCTCATCTTGATCAGCTGCAATCTGGGCAGTCTCAGCGGCTGCCACCTCCTGCTCCATGGGATCCTCTCCCAGGATCACAAAATCCTCCGCAGAGTCCAAAAGCTCGAAGTCGAAAAGTTCAGCCATGGCGGCGAAAGTCAGAAAAGAGCGAAAAGCGAAAGTCGCAAAAGTTCGATCTTTGATGGATCAGGGGCTGATCTTGAGCCAAAATGGCAGGCCGTTTTGGCTAATGAAATGTATTGTGGACACATTGTTTGCAATCCGCAAACTCCTTGCAAAACCAAACTAAAACGTTTACTTTTACAGCTCTGGTATGCTGTCCTGCAATATACTCTACCTGGTCTGCTGCTGCAGTCGAGTCAGTCAAGTCTCAGGATGATTGATGGCATTTCCGGCTGCGTTCAGGGGTGTGCCGTCTGGCAAATAGCCTACATCGTTGACGAAGATGGCACGGGGCAAGGGGGATCCTTGGTTGGAAGATGAAAGCTCATTGCCGTACCCAGCAAGGGCATGTCTAATGTTTAACTTGACCTTCATTGCCTGAGAATGATGCGACTCCCTCATGATTCCCCATGACTGGACAAGAAGCAACCTTCAGTAACAAAGGGCATCGTTACTACAAGAAGCTAGGAACAAGAAGCAACCTTCAGTATTGAACGTCTAGTCACCAGGAGCATGAGGATCCGGCTGGATGTTCTCTGGATGGTTGATGGCATTGCCAGCCCGGTTCATCGGCGTGCCATCCGGCAGATAGCCAACCTCAAGACAAAATAGAATGATGAAAGAAAATGTTTTCAAACTACGGAAGCTTGCTACCACGTGGAGGCCATCGCTAGTAGGTTGGAGGCCATTGCTACCTTAAGTGTCCTTAAAAATCTAGGAACCAAATCATTAGTGCGAGCGCTTCCTGCATCCAGCTACTAGTAGCTTAAGTAAGCTACCAGCTACCGTTTGCTGACTAGCTACCTACCTTGCTAGCTACTACCTACCTCTACGGCGGCCTGACAAAAAAGTATATGCAAGAAGCTACTAGGAACAAAGGGCATCGCTACTAGGAACAAAGACGCTTCTAGGGGTTCCTGGCCTTACTACTAGGAGCAATGTTCGCTACTAGTAACAAGGATATCGTCTTATATCGTCTTATGAATTTCTAAATGCGTCCGCCCATGGATGCGTGAACCGAAAATTCAGCCTGTCTTCTGTTTCCCTTTCTTTAGACCGAACATCATTAGCCTGTCTTTGTGCTTTTTCTCTGCTTCTTGTCTGAATTTCTGCTTCGCAGCATCATTGCCAAAGTTCAAGTCTGCATAGGAGTCCTTCTGCACAGCGTAGGCAAAGCCCGCTGGGTTGCGCAGGGTGGTCGGGGAAGACGCTGAGGGTGTTGGCGCCTGTGCCTTATGCTAGGAACAGCGAAATCGGTGAAAGCAACGACTGTAACGATGCAACTCGAGCTATTGGGGTCGTTCTCGTGTCTCATCTCTCATCTCAGAGTGATATGCCTGAGGCGACACTGTTGGCTTAACTTTGACAGCGACAAACGCAAAATGAAAGAAAATTTGAGGAATGACTATTGGGTTGGAGGCCATCGCTATTAGCAACTCAAAAGAAGGCTTGTTTTACACTACTAGCGTGGCACTTGTTACTACTAGCTTCTTGTCACTACTAGTAGGGCACCTGTTACTACTAGCGTGGCACTTGTTACTACTAGCTTCGCGCCATGCTGCAAAAGCTCCCACAAAAGCTGCAGCCACAGGCTCCTCCACGACATACATGGGGGGAGGCACCGGTGGGGCAGTCATGGGTGCCACCGGAAGTCCCTCACAGGGCGTTAGCAAAACCTTCAGGCCTTCATGCATCGTTCTCATGTCTTCGAATGGGGTGAAGCCCATGAACATAGCCATTTCTAGTAGTAGCTTCTTGTTACCAGTAGTAAGGCCAGGAGCTACTAGTAGCGTCCTTGCTCCTAGTAGCGATGCCTTTGTGGCCAGTAGCTCCTTGTTACTAGTAGCATTGTTCTCATGTCTTTGAATGGCATGAAGCCATGAACTGGCTTCACTCTTATTCGAGACTCGAAGAGACTCAAACCAATAGCCTTGACGGAGTTGTTGCCCGCCGTGGCCAAATCCGTGCCATCCACCAAGAAGCCCACATCAGCAGCATACACGGATGTTGGCAAAGGTGAGCCAGGAGTGTGCATGTCCGGCTGCATGGTCTCAGGGTGGTTCAGCGCGTTGCCAGCTGCATTCAATGGAGTGCCGTCAGGAAGGTAACCAATCGAGTTGGTGAATTCAGCTCTCGGCAATGGCGAACCTGGTGAATGGGGATCTGGCTGGATGGTCTCTGGATGGTTGATGCAGTTTCCAGCCTTGTTCATCGGCGTGCCATCTGGCAAGTATCCTCAAAAAGACAACAATCTGTCACATCAAGCAAAAAACAAAGATCTCTCCTCTGTTCTTGAATTAAAAATGTATGATGTTGTGCTATTACAAGCCAGGTTGAAGGGCTTGGAACATATGAGCGACAAGTAACCCACGTCATTCAGAAACTCCAAGTCGGCATGGGCATCCTTCTGCATGGAATATGGAAACTTGATGCCATGCAAAGCTTTCCGGGCAACCTTTGAAGTGCGTCCATGGACCATGATTCCAGCTGCAAGCAACACCATGCCATACATTGGGACACTTGTCGACATATCCCTGATGCCTCTTGATTCTGTCTCTGCCGCTTCGAAAGCTGTGGAAAACGTCTCGGCAGGTGCACCTTTCGGCACACCTGGAGCTACGAAGCTGACGCTGGCATTCAGGAAAACAAAGCCGACGACGGCAGCCAGCGCCAAGGCAGATGTCATCTTGGACCTGAGAGTGGCAGAGGTGGCAAGAATATGGGCAGCTTTCAAAAGGCAAATGCCCTTTGCTTCTGGTAGCTTCTTGTTCCTAGTAGTATGGCACTTGTTACTAGTAGCGATGCACTTGTTCCTAGTAGCTTCTTGTTCCTAGGGCCAGGAGCCCCGAACGTAGCATCCTTGTTCCTAGTAGCGATGCCCTTTGCTCCTAGTAGCGTCCTTGCTCCTACCGTGGTTGGGTCCTACAGTTGTTGCAACTGATTGTTTGCCAAGCAACATCTGAGACATGACTCCAAGAGCTTCTTGCTGAGCTCTGACTTCCAGCGTGGCTCTTGATCCACATTATGGATAAATAAGAAGATCTGTGATTCTGATTCAACACTCAAAACCAGAAAGTCTGGGCAAATATGAATTGTCCAGAGCTTTTTACCTTCCAGTTGGCCTGCAAGTCACAATGGGACGTTGACATTACGTACTCTCGCCAGAGATTCTCGTGGCCAGTAGAGAACTGCATTCCCAGGTCCTTCTCAATAGTTTTGAAGCATTCCCCTTGAAACCAATTGCAAAGAAGTCCCAAACCGAAAACAAGGATAAAGGACCCCGTACGTGTATTGCATGGCGGCACGCCAATAGTCCAACGATTGAAGCTGTATTCGCTTCAAATCGAGACTCCTGTCTACGTATTTGTGTGAGGTGACGGTGACAAGCTCAAATGTATTTCAATGTATTTGCTGAACTTGAGAAAAAGAAACGATCTTTTCTTGGGCCATGAGGGACTTAACGCAACTCTGTCCAGCCGCAGTTGCAGTCCATGGAAACCGGTCACCAAAACACAGCCATGGCTGTCGGCACGCTGGGTATGAGCCAAGTTCTGCCCAATCGGCCGTTCTGAGTACTGGAATTTACTGAAAGGCACAAAGAGAAACAGCCGCCGCTGCTTAGCCTTAAACGAGCTGCAGCTGCAGCAAAGGGAAGGCTGCACACCTTTCCTCAATGGAAACCAATCGAAACGCATTTTTCATTCTTCAGGCAGCACTGATCCTCGCTGACAATCACCAGTCGAAGTGGCTCTAGTGCACGGTTTTGTTGCCGGCGGTATCAAGGGGTGTGCCATCAACCAAATATCCAATGTCCGCAGAATATTCTGACGCTGGCAATGCTGACCCTGGTGAATGAGGATCGGGCTGAAGGCTTTCCTCGGTCCCAGCAAACTTGAGATAGCCACCGAAACTCAAGCAGGGCACTATGCAGAATGAGTCACTTTGAGAGGTGATCAAAGAAAATATATTCTGCCAAAAGAAATAGAAACAGGCAAGCTTTGGAGGCCATCACTCTTAGGTTGGAGGCCATCACTAACTTCATGAAGGCAAGGTAGGATCGGCTGAGCAAAGCTATTCTTCATGAAGTGCGTCGGCTGGAATTCAGCGAAGTGTCTGGATGATTGATGCCATTTCCGGCAGTGTTCATGGGTGTGCCGTCAGGAAAATAGCCTACGTCATTCACGAAGTTGGCACGTGGCAAAGGAGAACCTGAGCATTTATGAAAAGCAATGAAAAGCATGAACGGTTGGGTTTGAGATGGTTGAACTCAGAGTGCGAGGAGACTGGGTTTGCTTCAGTGTCATCTGAGTGGAGCTGGTACGTTCTAATGGACATGGTGAGTCTGAATCGTTCATTTGGATAGTCAGCATGCATCAGAACATATCAGAACTAATCTTTCACACGTCGGCGTCGGGTTCTAAGCTGTTCAGCTAGGTCTAGCTCTCAATGAGGCAAGGCTCCTGGGACATGCGGATCTGGCAGGATGCTTTCCGGGTGGTTCATCGCATTTCCTGCTCGATTCATGGGAGTTCCATCGGGAAGGTATCCAACCTCGCAGTTCCATGGAATGACACGGAGTGGTCTCACAAAAAGGAACGCAATAGCAAAATACTCAAAGTGGTCACCCACGTGACAGTTGAAATACTCAGCTTCACCGGATTGGTTCCTCAGGAACTGCTGCCATGCTTGAGGACATCACCCGTGCAGCAAAGCAACTTCATTGGAGAAAAAGAAATCTGCATAGACGTCCCTCTGTACCGAATAGGCAAAGCCAGCCGCATGGCGCAAAGAAGATTTTCCTGGTTGAGCCTGAGTGCTCTTAGGTTGTTGGAGACCATCGCTACTAGGTTGGAGGCCATCGCTATTAGGTTGGAGGTCATCGCTGCTAGGTTGGAGGCATTAGCTTGGAGGTCATCGGTCTTAGGTTGGAGGCCATCGCTACTAGTAGCAAGGACGCTACTAGTAGCTCTTGGCATCGCTACTAGTAACAAGAAGCTAGCAGTTCAAATCAATCAGTTCAAGCAATTCAAATGCACAAACGGCTATGACAGTGAATTGTCAATTCCAAGGCGCAGTGCTTCCCGCAAATGCTGCAGCCGCTGGTGCTGTAGTGGCAGGAGCTGAAGCCTTCCATTGCAGGCTAAATGCTGTGTTTTTTCCACCATTCCACCACCAAAAAAAAGGAACACACACACAGGCATGAAGTTCTGAAGCAAAAGTGACATCAGTAATCCCTCCTTTTCAAACGACTCTGGCACACCCAGGCATATTGTGTTCAGGATCACATAGAACCACAACAGGTTGATAGCTTGACAGCTACATGGGTGTTCAGTGACATGTTCCAACTCGTTTGCTAAGCGAGACTTCTGGCCTTGAAGTTGTTGCCCGCCGTGGCCAAATCCGTGCCATCCACCAGGTACCCAGCATCAGCGGCATACACAGACTTTGGCAATGGCGAACCAGCAACGTGCATATCTGGCTGCATCCTGTCAGGGTGATTCACAGCATTGCCGGCTGCATTCATAGGCGTGCCGTCAGGCAGGTAGCCGACTGAGTTGTGCAAAAGGGCCCTGGGCAATGGTGAGCCAGGAGTATGAGGATCCGGCTGGATAGTCTCAGGATGATTGATGCAGTTTCCAGCTTTGTTCATCGGCGTGCCATCTGGCAAGTAACCTGAGGCGCTTTGTCCGCCGCTCCAGAAACAGCGAAAAGGTCAGCTCGCCTAGAATAATGTTTTCAGGTAAAGCACAATCACTAATACCGGACTTGATAAGCAGTATTCAATGCTCATTGATTGACTGTCATCTTTAGCGTTGCGATGCGGAAGGTTGATTTCAAGGCGCAAAAACCAGTGCAACGTTGCTCCAGAAGCGGTTCCCCGAAGATCTACAAGTCATAGAAAAATTGGGCAGAATCTGACTCCGGAAAGAAGTCACAGAAAATCAAGGAACCAACAAGACTATATTTTAAAAAACACACAAGAATCAAAATAAAGAACAAACAGGTCTAAAAAACAAAAAGAAAAAATGAAGAAAATGAATACTGGTGAACTTGGGCCCTGGTTTACAATGCCCAACCCATTTGATTGTTCTACCTTTTGCTCGTTTTGCCCCTATCCTCACATATTGTTTGGCAAGGCTGTGGCAAGTCATCGCATTGTGTTCAGCGTTTTGTTGTTCATATAGTGTTCAACCCAAATATATATATATATGTGTGTGAATGCATGTATGTATGTATGTATGCATGCATGTATGTATTTAAGCACGAATGTATTTAAACACGTATGTATGTGTGTCTGTATGTATGTATGTGGCATGTGTATGTGTCAATGTATGTATATATAAAGTCGTGAACTTTTCTGATCACTCAAAGGGCTGCCGTCAAGTGAGACATGCTACGTACGCTGTACAATCATACCAGTGATGCTGAAAACTTCTTCACCCTCCTTCTCGGTAGTGTGAGCGCCCATCAGCTATTTTAGCTCACTCTGCGGCCATCATAGTTCTGTGGAATCTGTTTTCTCTAAGGAACGGGGTTCCTTGAACCTCTCGAATTCACTTCGTCTAATATCATTCAAATTGGACTCCTTCAGCAACTGCACCAGAAGTCGCTGCCTCCAGTAGTAATTCAGGTCCACTATATCGACCTTTTGTCTATCCAATGCTCTAGACTCCTTCTTGCTACATAGTTTGCTGCATTTGTCTCACAGATCAAATCATATCCTGGTCTCTGCCATGATGTTGGCTCTTCATCTTCCACAAAGCCTCCATTGAGAATCAACCCACAATGATTGTCTAACTGGTGTTCTTCTTTTTCTCTCTGGCCCAGAATAAACTCAACCTTCATCATCCTGCGCTCGCACTGATTCACTTCGTCACAAAGCAAAGTCCTCAGTGCTTCATAGCGATCTCTATCTTCATAGTCTCCACAGTCGGTCGTTCGGGCCTGGTGAACATGCAGGTGCTGGTTCAAGACATTCATCTGATTTAGGCTATGGCACAGCGTTCCCGCTTGCACTTGCTTCAGGTGGGTTGTAGTGGGAAATGTCACGCCACAATGGCGTGTCCATGTACCCAGCCCGGAACAAGTGCCGTGGAACTAGCAAACTCAGGCGTTTCCTCTCGCGCGGACATCTCATCCCGGTCCGATGACAAATCGATAATTGCCGGGTGTCCGAAGCCTGCCATGGGACAAGGCGCGCGAGGGACGGAAAGCTAAAGAGGGCAAAAGGAAGAGTCCTACGGCTGATAACCTATTTCAAACAGATAACAGCCTGAAACACACATCTTTTTCTTGAGCCAAAGCACGGTGGTAGGTAGACATATGTACATGTACTAGCAGTGAAAAATACTAAGTATGCAGTACAATCATACCTGTGATCTATGCGAAAAACTCTTCACAATATATATATATATATATACAGGTGTGTGTGCGTGTGCTGTGGCCTGGCTTTAGTCGAAGAAAAAATGGTCGACATAAATGTGGATTGACATGTTCAATTGTCGACCAGAATAAAGAATCATTGGTCTGGCAAAATGCCAACTGTTGGAGTACCCGAAGCTAAAGCACAAGTTTCAACTTGTCATTCGCAAGTGTGATGGCAACATTAACTCGTACATCTCATATTCTAAGAGCTCTGACATACACTTTCTGAGCAAAAAGAACTGGAGAGATCGGTATCACCAGCTGAGTTGTCTTTCATTGCAGACAGGCGCTTGCCTTGAAAAGTTGAACTGAATGTTCCAGGGTGACTATGGATATATGGAGATTCCCATGCAGTTCTAGTCCGATTTTGCATAGCAAAATTTGAATCAAGCCACCCACATCGTTCAAGTACTCCAAATCAGCATAAGCATCCTTCTGCATGGAGTAGCCAAACTTGATGCCATGGAGCGCATCTGCAGTTGTGGTGAAGCTGCCTACCACGGGTGGTGGAGCAACCACTGGGGGTGCTGCAGCTGCAGGTGGTGGAGCAACAGCAGGAGGCGGGGTTGCAGTTGCAGAGTACGGAGGTGCTGGAGCTCTCAGAGAGTTGTTGCCCGCCTGATTGATGGGAGTTCCATCTGGAAGATAGCCCACATCGTTCGCATACTCATGCGAATCACAAACAACTGGTTGGAAGCCGCCATAGTTTTTCCGCACAATTCCTGAAGCACGACGGGCACGTGCCAAGATCCCTGCAGCTGCAGTGGCCAGCAAAGCTGCACCATACACCACCATAACTGTTGGTGTGGTGTGATTTGCCGAGTTGGTTCCTTGGACTTGGGGTCGAGTCAAGGCCTGGGTTGCTGCCATAGGTCGATGAGGAACCACAAAGCAAACACTCATGTCCAGGAGGACAAGGCCAAGAGCAGCCAAGACCAAGGCGAATGATGCTTTGGACCTTGCTGAAGGGCACGGCCGACTGGTTCTCTTCTCAACAGAAAAAACGATCTATGCATCCTCATAGCTTGAGGGAAAAGAAGACAAAAGGTTTTGTTCAACGCGAGAGGCATCTTGCCGACTTGAGGGCCACTAGGTGCTATCTACGAGGACTTCACTTGCTGCTAAATGATGGAAGCGGCGGCAGATTTGGAAGCACCATAACTCTACTAGTAGCGTCCTTGCTCCTAGTAGCGATGCCAGGAGCCCCTAGTTGCGTCCGATCGCTCCTTGTAAAGGGCGCCCGTCCCAAGAGCGAGTCACTGAGCCGGGATGGCCACAAAGTTCGTTACGCTGGTACACCCCTTTTTCGCCACGCAATCTGCTTCCTTGCGCCGAAGATCTGATCGACCTGTGGTAGGAACTCAAAGGAGCAGGTTCGACAAGCCGAACAAAGCTGAACAATCCAGAATGGGTTGGCATTCAACATATTCAAACGGTTTCACGATAAATCTTGGAAGAACAGTCTGCCTTGAGCCAAAGGCATCCCATGTCAAGGTCGTCTGACATTCAGAGGGTGCACAAGTATCAAAAAAGAATGTGCCTAAAGAGCGCGCATCAGTCGCTTGGACAACACTTAGCCGCTATGTGACCTGTCGGATTTGGATTGTTCCTCGCCTTGATGTCTTCACCGGTCAGCAGCGTGATGTCGCCCTGTGAAGCTACGCGCTGCAAAGCGATCACAAAGAGTTGCCGCAAATTAAAGAGACGAGGACTGTGAGGACGGATGAAGGAAGGAACCAAATCAGTGCGAGCGCTTCTTCAAGGAAGGGCCGAGGGAGCTTCCTTGAAGCAGCCTGAGCTATCCTGCTTCCATATGTAGTAGCTTAAGTAGTTAGTAGCTTACTCCCTTACTTAATTATATAAGTTAAGTATTAGGAGGGCAAAGGGCGCAGCGGGCTAAAAGGAAATGAAGAAATGTAATCTCTTTCGATCTTCTGTCTTTTTCCAGTCTGGATCGCAAGGAGTGTTCTCTGCTCAACTGCTACCAACGGTAAGCTCCTTGGGCTCAAAGGCACCGCCGGCCATGTTGCTGCGCCTAGCAGTAACTTGGTGAGTTCCACATTCACAAAATGCCTTGAGAGTGACCAAGCCTCTGAAACGCCCTTCGTTTGCTCCACGTGATTCGGCTTTTGGAGACTCGCATACACTCATGTTCATTGACCTTTGTCGACTGGCGTCGACTCGTCGACTGGCGTCGACTCCTAGACTTTGCAGTCGTAGTGGAAATGATCGTGTTCGACTTCACGTCCGAGACACGTGAGAAAGCGGGAAGGAGGCCGCACGCCACAAAGCTGTGTTCGCTTCGAAGTCCCGTTACTCCCAAGAAGGCGATTCAAACACACTCGAATGCCAACACCAAAGAATGACAACAAAACGAAAAGAAGCTACCATCCTTGCTTGCTTTACATTGGCAACTTCTCAGTCATCTGCTCCATCACCCTCCTGAAAGAAAACCAAAAAAGGTGCCTTTAGAGCACCGCACTGTTCACAAGGAGAAGGAGGAGCACTGTGTCGCTGCATAGCCCTCAACAGACTGCAGCAACAGTGCGTGGCAGAAGGGCTCCACACCCTTCCGAAATTGAAACTGGCTTAAAATCTAGATATGACAGCAGCAATGCTGCTTCAACCCCTTTCACCTGCCCCGCTGACTAGTGCACTGTGTTGTTTCCAGCAGCATCAAGTGGGGTGCCATCAACAAGGTATCCAATGTCGGCTGCATACTCTGACGCAGGCAATGCTGCGCCCGGAGAATGAGCATCAGGCCCAATCGTTTCCTGAGTCTCCAAAAGATCAAAGAATGAAATATGTATGGCTTGGCACTTGATTTGGGGTTTAGGAAATGATGTGCTATTGCACCTATAGAACTTCCCAACATCAGCCACGTCATCTTTTGCTGTCTTTGCCTTTTGCTGTGTGAAACCCGCCGCTCAAATCGTCGATCTGTTCCTTGCCTTGCGCTCACCAACGCCTCATTAGGCATGTGAGTCAGTCGAGTCTCCGGATGGTTGATGGCGTTTCCTGCACGGTTCATCGGTGTACCATCCGGCAAATAACCCACATCGTTCACAAAGATGGCACGGGGCAAAGGAGATCCTGCGGAGAATGTGTGGGAAGTCTTGGAAAAGGGCTGCACCATTTAAAGAGAGGACACCAAAAACTAGAAGTTCAAAGAAACCAGGAATCTAAGTGCCGAAGATCCTGGAGCATGTGGATCTGGCTGGATGTTCTCTGGGTGGTTCAGGCAATTG